GTGTGTGTGTGTGTGTGTGTGTGTGTGTGTGTGTGTATGTGTGTATGTGTTTTTTTCTTTTTCTTTACAAGGTAAATTGTTCATCAAGATGAATCTTACTCCATGACGTATAGAACTGACTTATGTTCCATTAGTTTTTAGTTCACGGCAGGCCTGGGTTGTTCCTGAACATCCTAACCAATTTCCTTTCATCTGAGGGTGACAGATGATGCTGTCAAAGAAATATTTTTATTGACCTGGCAAAGTCCACAAGCTGCAGTCAGTCATGATCACAAACAAGAAGCCTATCAAAGCCTTGGCGTTTTCCAGTTAAAATGCATTCTCTAACATGAATGAATGTGTTTATATGAGCCTGCATAGATAATTTTAATCCTTTGTGGATTGAATTTAAAACACAATAAATTCACACTCGTCTGGCCAAATCTTTTAAAAATCATTGAAGTTGTATGTTGGAAAATAATTTCACTCAGGAAAAATGATTTAAACGAATCCTTTAACATCTAAAATTGATAAAGACATTCTTGCCTATGTATGTAAACCTTTGACTGCAACTGTATGATTGTTTTGCATCTTACACTCTTAGGTTGTTTAATGAAATAATTGTGTAAATCAGTTTTGTTTGCTTATCTGTTTTAATGCACTAGTGTTATCAAGCCCTTTATATTGTGTTGGTAAGTGCATTTTTTTCAGTCTAATAAATAAATSGACCATTTCATCTGAGTGGTTTTCCATTCTACAACACCGCTGCCTGCAGGCTGTTACTGTTCAATTTAGTCCTAAAGAACTGGCTTTCTGTAAGTTGCTATGCACCACTGCCAGTGTTATTCAGGTACAGAACCCTTGAAAATGTGGCCTTTATGATAAATAAATTAAAATGTATAGTTTAGCATGTCAAATGCRAAAAAAGAAAACTTTGTACTTTATCAAATAAGACTTAAAAAGTGTACATATTCAGACATAGTCTGTCACACAATATGAAAGATTGCACTTTGTGAACTGGAGCATTTAWAAAAGGCAACTTTCAAAAATTCACYGAGTTGTTTTAATATAGCAARATGATATAAARGGTAAAACATTATATGGTTAAAATGGAATTTGATCCCCACTGGCATAAAAAAACAACAAATTTGTGCAGAAGACTTGCACATAAGGATAGCATTTCACTTCATTAACCATGATTTTCTAGCAAATAAGCTTGCAGAAGTTTTGTTCTACAATGAGGGTGCCACGGTGGCCCAGTGGTTAGATCTATTACCTCACAGCTGAAAGGTCATTTTCTGGACTTTCTGGGTGGAGTTTCRATCCTGGTCTTGGTGTGCATGTATTTTTTTAGGTATTCTGGTTTTCTCCTATGGACAAAAACATACATGTTAAGTTACTTAGTAGCTCTAAATTGTCCCCAGGTGTGAGTATATGCCTACTCCATCTGAACTGCCAAAATCAGCTCTTATTATTGTAGTTGTGTGACGGAAATTGCATCATTTTGTTTGCAGCTTTAAGTTATTCACCCCTTCTTGTCACAACCACCGGGAGAGCTTTTCACCTCTCTCTACATAAGAAATTACTGTGTGACTGGTCAGAAATTTATGGGAGTGTTTGTTTACACTCAAAGCTCTCGGGCTCTGCCTTTCTGCAACTACTTGGTTCCAGAATCTGACTGTCGTACCCAGAAGCAAACATTTATATAGATAGTCAAAAGGCCAAAAACTCATGGATAGAGATAAAACAGACACTGACCATGGAGGAATCTGTCTGCCAAAAACTTCGGGGCTTCAACTGGGACAGATTTGTGGACAAAATAACAGTAGGATATTGGGGATTGTTTTATTAGATTTTTTCCAGAGTGTAGACTCCACGGAGAAGAAACCCTGTGCAGTCATGCATATCATAGTTGGATGGGGTTTCCCACTAGCTCAGCACAGTGTGTCTTAGGAATATGAAAGGTGTGTCTGAAAACAAACGTTAACCAACCACGGGATCATGCATTGACTGTTTGGCTTCAAATTGAGTATAATGGGCCAGCAAGTGACAATTGCTGTAAATGAGGTTGTCTCTGTGTACCTTTGATGGACTTGCGGCCAGTCCAAGGTGTACCCCACTTCTCATAAAAGGACAACTGGAGATAAGCTATTGTGACCTGAAAAAGTAAAACCGGGTAAAAAACAATGGATGGATGGAAAACTATAGCATACAGTATTTTAGTAATGTAATTGTTTGTCTTATTCTATTTTTGTCTCAGGTCCAAGGGAAATGCACAGCATCAGTAAGAAGGCCCTAGACCAAGACAGAGACCTTTTCACACACATCCCAACACATGACTCGGAAAGTGAAGCCCATTCTGTCACCACTGTCTCACCGATGAACATGCCCAACCACCAGCCCATCCTAAAGGGCCTKCTCCTCCACGAGCATCTTCTTACAAGGGACTTCCAGGGTGACCAACATTTCTTTTGGAAAGATGGCTCTGTAGCTGCGCATCCCACCATGCCAGGCTCTGTGGCTGTTCCAAATGCAGGAGATGCTGTTACACAAATTGTGCCCCATGAGGATGCCCCAGCCTTCTCAGACATTGCCACGACCGCCACGGCAGCTGCCACCTCCCAGCTGACCATGTTTTCTCCCACAACACCTGCACCACCTGTCTCTGTTCCTCAGAAGAAGTCAACCAAAGAGAAGGCCAAGGTGTCTGACAGAGTGGAGCCAACAACAGACTCCCTCACTACTCAAGTGATGCCATATAGTAGAGGCAATCCAGTGGCTTCCTTTTCCTCACAAGGCAGGGGTTTACCTATGGATGCCACTTTTGTACCCATCTCAGCAATGATGGAAAAACGACAAGCAAAGGAAACCACAGTGAAAAACAAAAGCAGCTCTGATCATCTACTCTCYAAGTCTCCTTCATCCTCTCAGGAAGAAGGTACCAGTACAGAATCAACAACTGTCATCATGGCTACCACCATGCAAACGACAGGTGAGTGTGTTCATTTCTTTTTCCTTTTGATATTCATGCAGCAGAACATTCAAATGACTTTGTGCCACAAATAGCATCTATATCTCATGTCTGTATTTTTTCCCTGAAAAAAAAAAGTAAGAACTAGGAGTATCATTAACAGATGCATCCCAGTGGACTCAAAATTAAGCATCAGGTCAACAACATCATGTCTGTTCATTTTGCATTCTGGACATACACCCCCCTCCAATCCGCTGGGAATAACAGAGTTGCTCATGTGTCAAAAACAATCAGATTTTTTTCCCCCTGATGTGTCCTGCCTGTCCTTTCCACTGGTCACAGAGGGCTGAGGGCCCAGATAAGCGGTATCAAAGAGGATATCTGCAGAGATAGTTGCAGGGGTTTTGGGGGCAGGGAGACACAGGTGGGCTGTCAGAAAGATCAACGGTCTGGGGAAAAAGGAAATCACTTTTATTTTTGCTCTCTCCCACAGAGCCATGTGGAATGAATTTCACTGAGTCGGAAGGTAACATTGAAATCCTACAACCACTTGACTCTGGTGTGGAGTGCAGCTACTTGATTACTGTCTACCTGGGGTATGGCATTGAGGTTCAGGTTAGTATAACATACTCATTGTTATTTTAAACCATGCTTTGTCAGTTTGGTAAAATTAAAGTGCTTCTTTAAACATGCATCAAGTCACTACCCAAAGAGAAGCAACAACAAGCATATTCTGAGGCTCACAGTCAATGTGGAACATTTTTTGTTGTTTACAAAATAATGTTTCTGTACTTTTACTTTGGTATGCATCAGCCAAAAGGAAATCGTTGAAAATCTCCATGTTCACCAGTTAGTAGCAAGCTTGTTCTCCTGTTTATTGCATGGCAGGTCGGGAGCAGTTTGTTTTTTAAACTCTAAACAAGCTGTCAGTAACGGCAAAAGCTACTGACAGAGAGCTGAGAGACATGCCAAAAATAAAGATGCACCTGAAGGATGTTAAACCCACCAAAATTTTAATAAATAAATAAAGATAAAAATTCCAAAACAGCTCTTCAGCTCAATAAAACAGAGGGGTAAGAGCTATGGCAACTAAAAACAAAACAAACCATTATTTACTGRTGTTAATGTAAAGTATTGATGCCAGTTTTAACATGAACTTCCCTATTTGGCGCTTCAGACAACACCTATTAAAGTAACATTATGTTCCAGCAGAATGTTTCATTTAATGAGTGAACAATTCTGACATTCTTTGGCTGCAGCTGAAGCAGGATTTTTCTGGTCTTTTGTCCTTTGATAAAGACAGGCAGTGAATTACTGGGGTGAGTGGGTGGATGAGGGCACAAGAGATGGGGGTGGGGGGTTTTGTCTAAGGTTGAATGTTTGCTCGGTAAGTCTCTACACAAAAGGTTATAAAAATTAACTGTCAGTGTGAGCGTGTTCCCCGGCATTTGCAATTCCTCAAACGCCTCATTTACCACTGGAGACTTTAAAATGTGTGAGCTTTGTCTTGCTGCCTCTGGAAGGCTAAGATAAGTCTTGACAGAGTATATGTTTGAGAGTGTGCTTTCCTCTGAAGACTTCCTCTGGGTAACTTAAGTAAATCTTGAACCACTTATAAGAAAAGGCACACACTCACCTGCGAGCACACTCGCACATTCACATGTATTTGATGTATCAGCTCTCAGCTTTCGCGGCTTCTCCAGTGCATTTGGTGAAACATTTCTTTTGTAACTTTTAAAACTGCAACCAGGCTGGATGAAAACCCATGAGGAAGCAATTCATTGCAGTACTTTSCAGATAGATGGGGGCCACTGTGTCCTTTTCTCACCACATTCAAAGAGGAAAGTTATTTGATAGCAAACTATGCAAATGATGAGCCAAGGTCTTTGTTACCGGGAAAATAACACATACACTCAGTGAAGACAGAGAAACTGAATTTACCTTATGTTTTACCTTGGGATCAGAGGTGTGAGAGAATTAAAACAAAAAATCCAAATTCACAGATTTGAGCATATGCAGATTAGCACTTAGCAGTGATGTGAAATAACGTTGTCTCAAGTGCACAACTTRAGGTCTGTCATTGGGGGGTTTTGTTCTAAAATTTTGCATGTCARTTTTAGCAATTGTGCTTAAATGTACATATTTGASATCATAATTTTTTAATTCAGGTTAAAGTTWCCTAAAGACAACAAGAGAGTTGCATCTGTCTACTTAACCAGTTAATTTATTTTGTGTTTGAGTAAATGATGTCATTTTATTGGGTGGGTTATTTTGACTTGATCAAGTTATTGTGGGGGTCATAACCCCCCATAATCCCCTGCAAATTACACCTGTGCATTGTCTTCAGACTTTCTTTTCCAAATAAAAACTTTATAGATTTTGATTGGTTTTAAATTACAGCTTATGACAGATATGCTATTTTGAGCTGCTGCAATTCTTCTTTCCYTCTGTAGAGAATGATTGAACCCTCCAACATAGCAAACAGGTGTGGYSCATATKTGGTGTCAAGCTGGCACCTCTGGCTGACTGTTAYCATGGCAAGTGGTTTGTCAACCAGATGTGGGCCAGGTCTGGCAATAATGGCACTGTTTTTAAGATGGCATGCATCATCTGGCCAGGTCTTGGGTTGCTTTATGTGGTGCTGGTGGTTTTCTAGTGATAATTCTTACAGCTCTTTTCTGTAAAACAAAAATAGGTTTTATAATTGTTTCACATGCTTTCCCTCAACAATTCAACACAATAAGTCAAGTGTGGAACAACCATCACAGTATACAACATTTACAGAGCTCTCTTACTTTATACAATACTTTATACAGTAATTTCTTGTACTAACAAAGGGTAAACATTAAAAAAATAAAAATGAAAGTAACAACTTCAATAAATTAAAACTTKAAAAAAGAAATAAACAATAAACAAATGTAATATTTTAAAGGAAAATCCWAACTGGATTCTCCTGGTTGCCAGTCTTGCAATGATTCCTCAAACCCAATCAATTCCCTTGGTCTTGGTATGCCAACCACGGGCTGACATTTCACTGACAAGTCTGAGTTGATGAGCTGTAGGAGAGACATTATGGTTGAAGTGCATGTTCGTAGTTTGGCAGCCAGCCTRCGTTATGGAACGGAGTTTTCATTATAGCTGACAGTCCGGCAGTTTGCAAGGGCAGAGCATCCTAATTAAATTAAAGGGATAATCTGGAGGACGAATGAGGACGAGGACCGAAAGACGTATTTGTTGATTTTGCTTTGTACTAACAGTTTAGTCAAACACTCTTTACCAAAAGGGACTGTGTCACTTTCAGTAAACAAAGACCCTTCTGTGGGCAATCAAAAGTACAGGCCCCAAAAAACATGATAAGACCTTTCCTGTATTTAGTCTACACTATTTTTAGCAGTCTGGCAGCTTGTGGGAGAAGGAAGCAGGGTGAAAAATGTATCTGGAGAATTTACTGCCCTGAGCCTTACTGTTCATCCCCTCTAACAGCTTATAATGCATTACCCCAGCTGCTGATTCTGACCGCATTGAGATTTATTTGCAGAATAATTGTGGAAATATTAAGAGGCTGATATATCACAACTTTCATCACAGAGATAAATAACATAGTAAACCGTCGAAGCATTTTTTWAAAACACCATCTTTTTAGTTTACTCCGCATTTAGTAAATAAATTAATTACACCTGGTGTATTTATCACTGTAGGGGATTCCTACAGATCATTTAACTTTGAGATACAAACTATAGATTTTTGTGTGACATTTCCCAGCTATTATGTCAAGACTAGAGATGATGAATTTCTTTAAAAGCAACAGTGGTTACAGTAATAAATGAAAAAAAGAAGGCTCATTTAAAGGTTCCTGTTCATTTTATTTCCCACATCCTCATACATGCTTAAATAAAAAAGTAGCCTTTACATTTACTAACCTTTGATTTTTGTTAATTAGTTTGTATGTAAACTGATACTTAAATGGTCATGTAAAACAACTCTTTCAACAAAARGTAAATTATTTCATTTAATGACAAGCTCTGTAGCGTTCACAAAATAAAGGTGTCAGTTAAGATTTTTTTTCATGGAGAAATAAAGTTTACCTTTGACAGTACTAATAAATTCAAATAAGAACATAGTGGATTGCTGTTGTCTAACAAACTTTATTTTCAAAAAAGTCAAAAACGGTGTTTGCAAATATTTTTATTCACTTTTAATTACTTTTTTATGCAATGACAATAAGCAGAAGCAACAACTGCAGCAAGTGTGTTGAAACCCGGGGCACATTAACAAATAAAATCATAATATTTCTGCTGGGATAATTTATTGCATAACTGTTGACAGTGGAATAGAATAACATTTGCATGAACAACGTCCACGTTTTTTTGTGATTGGAGTTGCTTTAGGACAGCAATGATTCAGTTTAGTTTTAACTCTTTTTGAACAAACAACTTGTTAGTTAGGTCAAAATTAACTCCAAACTGAGGTCATTCTAGGAACTATCGTCAACAGGTAAGTTATTATTTGTTTCAAAGAACCTCACCTTAACATTTGACTTTTCCTTGAATGTGTTTTTCCACAGAGTAAATATAAAAGGAAGTGTTTTGACTAGTCAATTGYTGTTACCTAAAGCACAGCACATCACATTCCTACATCCGCCAGTCATTTTTGCGTCAAGGTTTTGGTGCAAGCCAGATGGAGGTTTTCTGGAACTGTGCTGTGGCATTAAAGTGCTTTCAATCTGTTTTGGAGCTTTTTTTTTTTCTTTTTTGATCAAATAAATCTTGTTAGGTAAGCTAGCTATCAGCTTTTTCCAGGCCATCTGCTCTGAATTCTGCATCTTCCCTTCTCACTGATCTACCTGCTTCAGTCCCAACAAGTTTCCCTGTGAGCATCTGCACACTTTTGATTGGCCCGTTTAAAGAACATCCTGATTGTTGTAATGTGGTAGGAAGCTGTGGAGATAGAAAGTCAGCAAAGGGCTTTTCACACTTATACTAAGGCTGATTACAGCACCGCTCCCATCTGAGAGGCTCACAGCGACATCAGTCAATAAAATGATGGGTGAAGATTTTATACTAGAAAATATATTATTACATTTAAATATATTCTCTTATTTTCCAGCTACACATTTGCTGAGCATTACGGGGTATCCTGCTCATTAAATGTATCCCAGCTAGGTGAAATGGTAATAGGAATCCTATGAGTGACTCAGTTATTAAACAAGTGAAATATACCAAATTCAAAAATTTTATTTGGACTACATTAGATAAAATGACGAGAATAGAAAAGTTGTTATAAAACACAGAAAAAAGGCTGCTGCATAGATATTGCCTAATATAAAAAAGCTAAGGCTGTGGATGATAATGTTTTTGTCCATGTGTGTATATGTCTTGCTATTGGTCGTGTGGACACGTTTTATACATTACTTKTATGGACATTTTGCATGGCTCACAATAGAAAACCCTGTTTGTGGGTTAACCGTTAGTTTCAGGGTTAAGGTATGATTTAGGTTTGGGTTAGATTTACGGTAAAGCGTCTGGTTTTATAAATTATTGGAAGTCAATGCAAGCCCACACAAAGCTAGAAATACAATTATGTGTATGTTATCTGTCGGGTTCAAAAATATCTCA